CAACTTGTGGTCCACTATGACCCCTAGATTACTTTCCGCCATGATGCAAGAGCCTTGATGCAAGAGCCAGGGAGGTGCAGGGTTCACAGGGGAAGTGGCCCAAGGAACAGAAGACAATTAAGAGGGGAGTGAAGGAAGACAGGACAAGGCTGCCACAAGAGTGTCCCTAGGCTGGGACCCAGAATAGTGGGTGGGTTTGGGTTCCCTCTTCCCCTTTGCACTGCACCAAACCACGCTGAGGAGTGGCCTTTATGGACTTTGGCTTGCCCTTGAGGTGAAGGGCTAGACTGAGGCTGCAGTTGACTATGGTGGCCAGCACAAGGGACTGCTGACTCCACTGGAAGAGTGGTGAGAAACCAGTGTGGTGGGCACAGCCAGAGGGCAGTGTCTTGAAGACACCATGGTTCTGGGAGCAATGCAGGTCTTGAGCAAGAGCAAGGAGAGAGCGTGAAGTGACAATGGGTGAGATTCTGGCGAGAAGAGAGCATCCTGCTGAGGACAGAGCTAATTCCCAGTGTGACCAGGAGGTGGTACTGCTCTGTTGAGTCACAATCTCATTACAGTGGACTGGATTCTCCTTGTGCCAGGTAAATACTCTAAGCTGCAGACTAAAGAATCATTCTGATGCTTTTTCTTTTTCTTTTTCTTTTTCTTTTTCTTTTTCTTTTTCTTTTTCTTTTTCTTTTTCTTTTTCTTTTCGTGTGCGTGGCTTAACAACTCCTTAAAGTATTTATCCAAAGTGGAACAGCTTCAGTAGGAGAGTCTGAGGGGATCTTGTGCCTCTTGTGGTATTGTATAACTCAATGGCTAAATCACTCACTGAAAAGTTGGCTGATCCTAGTTCCATTCCCTTCTCCATCAGATGGAGGGAGTCAGTTGACCGGCAGGTCTGCTGTGTCCCAGGTTTTGCTTATAGTCAATATTTGCCCTCCAGACCTGCAAGTGACAATCACAGTCACTTCAGAACTCATGTTTCTTACAGCTTGGCAAGTAGCCCTGTTTTTTCCCCATCCTCCAGCTAGATTTTGTGCAACCCAGTACATCTCTTTCATTTTTAATGCTTCCACACATGTCCCAGTCTTTTGGTGACCTTTATGCAAGCTTTGACTTCATGCATTTCAAATCTGTTATCACATCTATGCATATTTACTTTTTGTCTTAAACTTTAAAAAAATACCTTATACTGTAGTAGAGAAAAGTCAAGAAACTGCTGTTTATTGTAGAATGAAAGGATTGCTGGTGAGCACATAGCCTAATTTTGTTCTTTGAAACAAGAATTTGAAAATTATTTGTGAACCATGCAAAAGATGTTACGTCTTTAAATAATACTAGCAGAAATACCCGGCGTCTCCCAGGGAAAATATAGTAAAAGGTGTGATGAATGAACTATGTCCTTGACATTAACATAGCATATTTTATTGGAAATACTTTTCTCTTATATATTACTTTAAGAAATTAACATAGCTAGTGATGTGCTTACAAAATGACAAATCCCATAGGGTCTCTTTTCTCAATCCCCACAAATCAGGAAGGCCCATCTTCCCTTAAAGACTCTATGCAAACCAATGCCTACAGCCTCCTTGTCAGAAGTCCTGAGAAATGGAGGGGATGCCTCCTGGGCTCTGCAGCAGCATATCACTGCTCCCCAAGTAGCCACTCCCTGAGTGCCTTCAGTGCATGCTTCATGGGGCAACCTGAATGGACTTCCTAGCGGCAGCTGGACCGGTTGCATTGATCAGACAAAGTGAAAGACCTTCAGACCAGGTGCAATGAGTGATATCTAGATGATCAGAACATGCAGCACCTGAACGTACCTGTTCTAATGAGAATAGGCTGTTCTGAGTGTACCGTGTCCTCCTCAGGCTCCACGGTGCTCAAAACTTTGTCCTCCTACCCACCTCCTCTTTGTACTGTGAGCTGAATCCTGCTAAGTGCCTAATGTCAGTGGCACTTGCTGGTAACGCACACAGCCCTGCCAGGAGAACTCATGCAGCCCAAAGGAGAGCGAGTTGTGGGATGACTCGTTTGGGTGTGGGGGAAGGGAAGTAACTTTAATTTCCAGAAGTGGTTCAGTCGGAGCCCGGCTGCGTGAAGATGTTGAGAGGCTGTGATAGCTGGAGGCTTCTCCCAGCCACAATTAGCAAGGCTAGCCCCCAGACAGCATCAGCCACATTTGGGTCTGTCCTAGAGACCTGCTGGTGCCCTAGTCTAGGGGAGGTTGCTGATTCTCTGCCCCACTGCAGCCTCTCCCCCATGGGCTTTCCCTTGATGGTGATGCAGGTGCCCACATGCTTTATCCTCTAGGATCTTGTAGCTCCAGTTTATGTGACACACTTAACAGAAGAGTCCAGCAAATTCCTATGATCAGGCGCTACTAAAATCTAATTATCAGAGGCCCAATTGGGGCTCTGGGGGAACCGATTTCAAGGTATAACCAATCCAGTGCTTTAAGTTAGGAAATCAGGCATATCTGTGCAAAATGTTGTGTTTCTATCTCTTACCATTTTGGAGATCTTTCGGAAATATCAGTGGGCACAATTGGAACTCTGGGGGAACCCTCAAGTCCAATGAAAGTAGTTGGTGCTCATCAACTCTCGGTCAGTGCTCACTATCTCAGTATTAGAACATTGCATCATTCTTTGCAACCTCTTGTAAGACAATGGAATTACATAAGGTATGACAAGAGAAAAATGTATTGACTCTTTCTCTGTGTAAGGGGTCTGAGTAACACTAGGGCGCATGTCTAAACTGCATTTTTTTTTCTCAAAAGAGGATATGCAAATTCCACAGGAATTCCTTTTTATGGAAGAGCATTTTTTCAAAAAAGGGTTTTTTTTCTGAAAAAAACATGTCCAGACTACTTTCACTTTTGAAAGATTATTTTTCACAGGAATTTTCATATCCTCTTTCGAAAATTCTACATAGTCTAGACATAGCCTAGGTTGGACAATATACCCACACCCAGTAGATGTGTGGGTGACTTACTTCCTTGAGTTGAGGAAGCACATCCTAAGGTTCAGAGACACAGATGAGCCCCTACTTGGAATGCCAACAGGTGGAACTGAACTTGGGACTCTTGGAGATTAGTGAATGAGCCTCAAATGCTTGAGCTTAAAGCCATCTGACCTCTCAGCTAAGGCTGTGGAGGAAACGCATGCTTCCTCTCTGTAAGTGGTCTAAGTGCCACTACATGGGACAGTGAACCACACTCAGTAGGTGTGTGGGTTCCATATGACTACTTCTGTGCATACTTAAGAAAATTGTTTCTGCTGTGCTCCCATCAAATGCAAAATGCAGTCCTTGGCCACAAAGGTCCATAAAACTATTAGACCTAAGCAAATGTAATCTCACCCAAGGAAGCTCCAACTTGTTCTCAGCCCATCACCGATGTGCCATTAACCACAATACACCATTAAGAAAAGGTTTGTAAATCATGGGAGACAGAATCTTTACTGGATCCAGATGAAAAATATGGAATGTACATGCAGAAGGAATAAAAATCAGCCAAAGGCCTAACTACATACACGGCAAAATTCAGAACACATCTCTTTGTCTAGGCTTTCCCAGAATAGCACACCACTCACAAATTCATGGAAAACAAAACACAAACAAAAAACAAATAAAATCTGCTGCTGGCTGTAGCAAAGGAAAAGAGAGAGGGGGAGAGATAGCACTGTTACCATTTAACACGCGGAAGGCACATGGATCCTGTGGCCATCAGGTATGCAAGTAGCCAAACAGGTTATTAGGCATGTCATTACTGTAGTATCTGAAAACCTTCCAGTGGTGCATTCAGCAACATAAATATTCCAAAAGCTAGAATGTACTATCTTTACTTATGGCAGTGAGTGCTTATTCACACAGGTAGTCCCTCTGACATGAGTAAGGGCTACACAGTCTAGCCCATTCTGTTTAATGTCCTTCAAACCTGACTTTGTATTATCACCTGCAGGACTTTTCAGAAATGCTACGTCATCAGTATCTGGTACTGAACTAGATGCATGTAAAACTTCCAAGTGCAAAATTCTTTGCTGTTGTGTTAAGGATTCTGAAGTTCAACTTTAGACTTGAATTTTATTAACACTACCACTACCAAGCTGTGCCTTACTAAAAAATCTTTTGTGGTTTCTAAAATGGAGCTTGTGCTGCTCTTGTTAGATGTAGAATTTTAAATGGGAAGGTATCTTAATTCTTTCATTTTATCTATTGGCCCTGGTTTACACTTTCCACCAGTGCTCCAGGCTTCAGTGATTATTCCTGTACCTATGAATAGCTGGTTGGAACTATCTTTTGAGATAGTCAGCATTTCTAGTTTGGCCAGGTGAACTGCAGCAGAACAATGGAACAAGGTACCTATCCTAGAAATTCACCTCTGGATGTCCTCTACGCTCTGAGATGCTGGCACCCCGTGATAGCATACTGACAAGACTCTTAAATGTGCCAAGTCTATTACTAAAAGTAGTGATCAACACATTAAATATTGAGTACATACAATTTCACCATGCATTTCCTCTTAAGTCTTAGTTTTAAAAGCTTTATCTTCATAAACATCACAAAATACCACCAAATAAGATATGGAAATGACTTACACTCCATGGATGGAGTGGCACCATTAGAAGATAGGAAGGATAAGGGGGCTTCTGAAGGTAGGGAGGTGTGGGGGGGGGGGGGAGGAAAGCATTAGAATATACATATTTATAAGCCACAGCCACTGTGCCAGAGGACTAATGTAAACAAGATAGCTGTGGATCTCCATGTTCCCTAGTTCAAAGAACAGAGCAGACGCTAATAATTCAGCAAAATTTTGCTTTGATACTGTGTGTTACAGGTGATTTAATTTGGCAATGCGTACTGTATATACTCCTTTAGATTATCTCTGTTATGCTGGATTATGTTATTTATATGGCATCTTGTATACTGATGTGACACAGTATAATGTGATTTAATTAAATATGACAGTTACAAGTAAGAAGGAAACTCACTTTGAATCAGATACTCACCATCAATTTAAACAGCAGGTATCTGAACTGATCAGTTGAGTTTTAGGGGACTGGGCATCTGTGAACAGCTGGTTCTTTTGCACGTTTGTGACAATCTATGAACAGTGATGCTTTCCTTTCTATAAAGTCTTTGAGGGCACTGATAGTGAACTCACTGATATTCTCAACATGCCTGTTAGCCTGGATATCTGTAGGGTCTAGGAGACAAAACAAATAAACAAACATCAATAATGAACATCAGCCCTCTAGGATTTCATGGAATACTCCTTTGAGCACTCAGAAAAGAGTTGAAAAATAAAATTAACTAACAGTAATAGTCATGGACAACTTCATAAACAAAAATAAGGCCTCATCATTCTAAAAACAAACAGCTGCATTTTTCCAGCATCTGAAAAGGTCCTGGCAAGTACGGCATCACCAATAGCAAACTACTCAAGACATCCAAACTTTCCTGATGGTGTGCAGCATGGAGATAGATTGGATAGATTGTATAAAATGGAGGAATATTTTAGTTACGGTGTTTTGGAGAGAGTAGTTCCGCTTTTTTTTTTTTTTTGGTTGGATCTTGAAAAAGAACCACCTTCTGCATCACCATTTCCTGCAGGTCTCTCTCAATGTCAGTTGTGACTAATCCTTAATTTTCAGTCCAGTGTGGTATTCTGTCTCTCAGAACTCTACTGAGTAAATAGTAGCCACTGGATTCTATTCTATAAAAATCTGCAGATGCATTTCAGACATTTTAGACCTATTCATCACCTAATTGTGCAGGAGCACAGGAGACATTTTAAATCCCTCTTCTCTTTCCTGTGATATTAGTTATGGTGGTATCTGGAGGGGCCATTGGAGGTGGCATAGCAGACAGCTCATTCATTATGTTTAAACTATAGTTTTGACTAGAGCTGTTCTCTCACAGGCTATGTCAACACTACAGTGGAGGGGTTTTTTTTGTAAAAAAGGCTGTTTTTCAGAAAAAAACTTCACTTATGTCCACATTACAATTTCATTCTTTCAAAAAAAAATCAAAAGAACAAACGGGTTTTTCTGTTATTGATAAACCTCTTTTTACGAGTAAGGAGCCTTTTTCCAAAAGAGCTCTTTTGGAAAACGGTGTATGTAGATGAGGAAGAGGGAGTTCTTTTGCAAGAAGAGGAAAGAGGAAAAAGCATAGGTGGCAACTGTCTATGGTAATTACCGCTTAAATGTGAGATATCGTCCATTCAGTGTGGACGCTATCTTTCGAAAAAGCAGATTGCTTTTTCGATGTGCTTTGGCAGTGTGGACGCTCTCTTTTGGAAGAAGTTTTTTCAGAAGATCTCTTCCGAAAAAGCTTCTTCCGAGAGAAGCCTGCAGTCTAGATGTAGCTGAGCAGTCCCCTTACAGCCTTCACTAAAACTACCAAAGTGGTAAATGTTTCAGTGATACTTCTCTTGAATCATGGCACTATGCCTCTCTTACATCCCAGTCCACTCATTCCTACTCCCCAATGTTTTTTTTTCTCCTAGAGATGAGCTCAAATCTTAATTCTGACTCTGAAAATCCCTAATTTTTGGTTAAATTCAAATTTGCAAGTACCTGTAGTATGTTGCAATGGATAGGTCTCCCACAACATTGAATTCCCCACCCCACCACCATCTAACCAAACCCACCCTCACCAAAAAATAAAAATCTGTAATAGAAACTACTCATCTACCCACAAAAGATCCCACGCACCCCAATATGAACATCTACCTCCACTCCCCAGCAACAACCAAATACTTCAAGCAGAGTTTTTATCCCTAAAAAGAGAGAAGTCCTAAATCTTCATGGATCCCACTAAGGACTGCTTGTGCTATTGATTTTGCATGGAAGGTGCTCAGATATTCTGACAGTGGGTGGCAGTATAAAAGGGTTGACAATCAGACTGCAGTTTTATTTCCAGGTCTACCTTTGCTCCACTGTGGGACCTTGGACAGGTCATTTCTCTTTTTTGCACTCAAGCGTGCCCATCTGTAAAACAGGAAATGATAGTTATTCTCTGTAAAACTCTCTCAGCTCTAAACATTTGCTAATTGTTCTCCGAATAAGACTTTGTAGCTAAAGCCTGAATCCTTTTCTCCCTTCTGTCTGTCTGTCTGTCTCTCTCTCACACACACACACAAAAGAATTTAAGGAAATAAGAGAGGAAAGCTCTTCAAGCTTTAATTATAATATCAATGGTGTAATCACCCAGCAGGGACAAAAGATAAAAGTGAACTGTGCTGTCATTGTTCTGGACTTGCATTCTCCCTCCCCCTCCCCACCCCATGATTAGTTCCACTCTCTGATAATAAATTAATTGAATCTCCAAGTACAAAGCAAAGATATTGGCAGCTTTCAGGCTTGTTTCCTATGCAGAACCACGACAGGGGAGGTTGAAGATCAGCAAGTTCACAGGCTTTACTGTGCAATCCTAGAGGGGCTTGATTGCCGGAGTTCAAGTCTCTGACAAAGAAGTCAATGCGGCTATCATATTTTTTCCTCTTCAGTTACAGTTCCTTCACACGCTGCTCTCACGTTACCCTCAATATCCCTCTCCCTAATGGCTCCCTGCTTGAGCTTCCCTAGTGACTGTTTACATGGCCTCCGGCTTTCCTTTTGTATTACTGGTTCACTGAGCCCACCACAGAGGGTCATGTCCTTGAGGGGAATTTTCTCTTTTTTTTATTCTTTTGAGTCTAGGCCTTTGAGAGAAAAACATGAGTCTAACAGAACAAGGGAAGTTTGCAGGCATAACTCTCCTCTCCTCCCTCCTCCCCCAGTGAGACTAAGGAGCTTGTTTGTGACTGTTTGTCATGCTGCTCTTTTCAGTTCCACTCTAAACTTTTTAAAATAATAACAAAAATATCTGGGGAGTAGTGAAAAGAAAAAAAAACATCTCTGTGGATTTAGAATTGCTATTGTATTTGTGTGGCACACGGCAATTACATTTTGCTTTCATATTATAATAGGAATGAAAGCATGGTAATACTTTATCTGCTGTTCCATATTACAAGTATTACAAAAAAGAGAAAACCTGGTTTACACAGCCAAAAGCTTTTAAATATCAAGACATCCCAGTAAATTCCCTTTGTCTATCCTATTCAATATAATTTGTGGTGATGGACAAATCCTTTTTGGTTTAATCCAACCTCTTTGAATTTAGGAGCTCAGAAGAAAATGTCTTTGAGCTCAACATTGTAAGTCAAAAGCTTGCCCACATTAACATAAGGAATCTAAATACAAATGTGGCAGGATTTGTATTAAACATTTTTTAAAACCCCATACATCTATTCAGCCACAAAGAATAGAGGTACTGTACCTGCCAGACACTTGGTACTGAAGAGAGATGAATCTGAAATCCTATAACAGGCTAATGCTTGGACAGCAAAGTGGGGAAAGATTACAGACCCACTGGAGATTACCGACATATCAGCATTGTTGTATTCAATCTCACTTCAACCTCCAAATAGCAAGAAAACAAGGTTCATATTTGCAAATTGTTTCTATTTCACCTGTTCATTTTAAAACTCCAACTGTGTCTCCCTGATGTACCTCCCCATTCCCAGTACCAAATTGGTCTCAGTGCTGGGCAGAACCAGGACCGCTATCTTCACTTTGAAAATTACAGTTTCATTGTCATGTGATAATGCGACACGTGAAAATGATCACAATATATGTTCTCAGTAAACTCGCAAAAGCAATACTAACATAAAAAAAACAAAAACAAAGCCACATTGTTCAATTACTGCTCATTTAAAACTCCCTTTGAATCTTGAGTAACACCTGAAAGATTTGGCCTAGAGTATTTTAGCTTTGTTATTTCACAGATATCCACCATGTACATGGTGTTGCACTGATATACAAAATTCTTGGCATTTGGCTGTAGCTTGTTTAGAACATGTTCCAAAAATTCACCCAGGGTCTGATGAAACCTGAGCTGCAGCTTTTCTAAAGAGATCAGGATAGACTAATTTTATTTTATTTTATTTCATGATAGACAGAACGACCCTTTTGGTTAAAGATTCCTGCTTTTCAAATGGAATTTTTCTTAATATGTCTCAGTAATTGCAAAATAAATTCAGGGGGAAAGGCACGCCAGTTAAATGGGGCACGAGGTGTATATAAAAAAAAATAGAGAATATAGAGCCTAATTTTGATTTCAATTTAGAATGTTCTGAAGCAGTTCAGTGACACACTTTTATTTATAGTGCAGCCATAGACCTTCTCTTAGACCCAAATAAGGAATATGTTTAATGTTCTTTTCATCCATGTGATAGGTTGGCAAGCCCACTGCATATTGCTGTGTGCAAGACAATGGTCACAAAGGCTATGTCTACACTACAGGGTTCTTCTGGGATACCGGAGGTATCCTGGAAAAACTCCAACATGTCCAAGGAACGTGACTGCTCTTCTGCTTTTTTTTGTGGAAGAGCAGATGTGCTCTTTCGGAAGCTCCGTCTTCCTCCTTCCATGAGGAAGAAGGGCTCTTCTGAAAGAGGAGGCTTTTCTGAAATTTGGCCCAGTTTAGATGGCCCAAACGTCGGAAAAGCCTCTTCCGAAAAAACTATTGGGAAAAGGTACGCAAAATACGGAGCACATTTTGTATATCTTTTTCTGATAGATCATTATAGTCAAGACATAGCAAAGTGGCCTCTAGTTTTGCCCTCTCACAGTCATTAGAACAGAAACATGCATTTTAATAGAGGTGCTACAGTTGCTCGCTGCATGAGTTCCTTCTATCAATGGATCCCAAATTATTAAAACTATAAAATAAAACTTAGCAAGGAGATGCCTTGAATTTTAAAGATTCTCCTTTAACCAACAGGTCTGAAAAATACAATCAAATAAAAAATAAATTTTAATGCAATAGTAAGCAAAGTCCCTTCGATGGTTCACCAGGCAACTTATTTGAATGGCATATATTAAAATGTTATTTAAATCTGTGGAAAGTCATTAAAAACAAAGTCAGAAGTTCACCAGTATTGCCAGTCTATCCATTCTGAACATATTAACTTCCTTCCTTTTATTTTAGAATGATTTCAGGATTTCTATCCTATAGTCACGCTTTTTAATATTCTCAGATCAAGGAAAGCAACTCTCTAACTAAGGTGAATTAAACACAGTAAGAATTGTATATTGCTCTTGCCAGCATAGGTCAGACCAGCAACTCAGCAATTTTCTGCCTCTTCCACTTTTAATATGTGGTGTGTTCTGGGGATGCAAGGGGAATAAACCTTTGTGGTTTGCAACTCTGTCCCTCAGTAATTTTAATCATATAATCTTAGCAGACAGCACATCAACAAATAAATAGCATGCATACCATCTATAAATTAAATTAGCAACATAACATAACACACATTGCAGTTTCCATGCTGAGGATGGTTTGTCTGTTGCATCCTATGTAGCAATTTTAGATGGTAGCCTGATTAGGTTGTTTTTTTTTTCAGAAAAAACAACAAGGAGTTTGGTGTTACTTCAAAGACTAACAAATTTATTAAGGCATAAGCTTTTCTGGGATACAACTCACTTCTAAAAAGAAAAGAAAAGAAAAGAAAAGAAAAGAAAATCCATATTTGCATGAATTGAAACTCTTTCTGAAATGTCTGTATGGAGAGAAACAAGAATTCTAAATGTTTTCAAAACAACAAACCAAACCATAGATGATTAGGATTTCAAGGGGGATTTAGTGAACATGCTTACCAACACATTCTCCCAGTATATGTCCTTTACATACAACCCTTTGACTCACTAGCAGTGGGGAAATTAGAGAATGAGACACATAGTAAAATAGGTAGAATGCCTGTACTGTCAGTAAATAGACTCACTTGAAACAAAATGCTTGCTTTCATAATTTTTGAACTATTTAGTATAGGGAAAACCTCTTGCATATATTTTTCTGCTTCTTTTTTTGGAAGAGGCTTTTCTGACATTTGGCCCAACTACACTGGGCAAAATGTTGGGGAAAAAAACCCTTTTTCAAAGTGGGCAAAATGTTGGGGAAAAAATCCTTTTTCACAATATCCCTTCTTCCTCGTAAAATGAGGTTTACAGGGATGCTGGAAAAACGCGTCTGCTCTTCCAAAAAATATTTTGGAAGAGCAGACGTGTTCTCTGGTATCCCAGAAAAACTCTATAAGTATAGACGTACCTCCAGTGATTCCTCTGGAGGAGCCTGCAATACACATCCTTCCTTCTCCTCAGCCAGCCTTGACTGAGCCACAATGCCTCCTTTTATCTGTCCCCTCCACCTGGAGCATGCATGGCAGGAGCAAGGCGCATGGCTTCCTGTGCTCACAGTAGTTGATCAGCCTCTATTGGCCCAGTGTGGGTTTAATACTACCAATCATACCAACTTATGCCAAGGCAAATTTCCACCTTAATAGAGTCAGCATGAGTATAGCTATGCAACAATTTTTCCCAATAAAATGAGCTATATTTTCTTCTGTATCTGTAAAAACAGCATTAAGTAGCACTACCAGGTAGGATTCTGGAAAGCATCTATGTTTGCCAGGGAGCTCAACTCTGATTGTGGGACTTGTTCTCCTATGTCACTGAGACACTTGAAAAACCTCACCCTTGTGTTCCTACTGCAACCCTGATTACAGGCCTAGCTGACAAACCTATTCCAGATGATCCTGCTCTAAGATGGCTTGTCTTTCTCGACCCTGAGGTTACTTCTTATGTGGAGTTGATTATTTTCTTTGTTTTGATCCTAATGGATAAATGAGGGGAAGAAGGAAGATTGTCTATATATAAGGCCCCCATTACCAGAGAATTGGAGTAACGCAAAATTAATTAAAATAAAACTAGTAATACCAATCTGTGAATTGTGTCTTAGCCTATAGGAAAAATAACTTCATGATTTACTGTGTTTTTCATTTGTTTGCTTATATTTGTATTTGGGAATGATAGGTGAGCTGTGTGCCCATATGAAGAAATTACTGAAAGTGACATCAGTGACAATGTTTCTCTTTTGTGGGAGTAAATGTCATACTCAAAGGTCCAACTCTCAGGAAAGTTTTTGCTTCAAGACTTTTGAGTCTTTCCCTGTTGGTATTAAAATGGATTGTCCACCCTGTGCTCATATGAGATTTGGAAGGACAGAAAGGGTGCGTCTAGACTGGGGGTGCTATATTGGAATACGTCCGGTATCTCAAAATAGCATTTTCTGTGTCTTCCCAGCACAGCCATTATTTTGAAATGCAGTTGAAATAACAGGCTTGCTATTCTGATGTTCTGGTAAACCTCTTTCCATGAGGATTATGGGATTTGTTGGAATAGCGGTCTATTTTGAAATGTTTCGAAATAGACTATCTTTAAATCAGCTTGATATAAGCTACGCAAGTTGTGTAGCTCAAATTGCGTAGCTTATTTCAAGCTATCACCACAGTGTAGATGCACCCACAGAGAAGCAGGCCTGGAAACTGGCCAAAAGTCTTTGTCTTGGCAAGGCTTCCTGGGAGAGAGATGAAAGCATAAATGTATAAAAGCCTACATATATAAATGAAAATATTATGGTTCAGTTTATGAACCCTTGACCCACATTGGATAGTGTACTACTCAGATGAGTAACTGCTCACCATTGTGATTAAAGGATACACGGCCTGAGCCAGTGTTACTGAGACAGACTTTTAAAGTACCACATTAAACACTAACTTGCTCCTAAAAGTAGTCGCATTGATTTCAGTGTAAGACTATCAGAATCTGGCCCAGCATGAAGCTGCTGAATTGGTATGTGCAGTGGAAATTGCTAATAAAATCCATTATTTTCATGAATCCAAGAATCTAATAATTTCACAGCCATAAAAAATAAAACTCAGTAGGTTATATTATCAGAAAAGTTTCTGTTCACTCTTTCTTTCCATTCTATCTTGCAAAATCCATCATTACTCTATTTACCTTATTATGTCCTGATATCTGCATACATTTTTGAGGCTCAATTATAAACATAAAATTATATTGCCAGATGAATCAGATTTGCAGACCTCTACACATTATGCACCATCTTTTGTAGCATTTAGATGAAGACTCAAATTGTTCATTCAGTTCAGTGAATAAAAGGAATGCATAAGATTTTCTAGAATCCCTGCAAGTATACATCACATTTTGAGACCTATTATCTGCTTCAACAATTGCCATTCTGCTTAGTTTTTGACTCAGTGTTGTCAGCTGCTTAAAAACGAGGATTAAGCTATCCAAACTACAAAACTGGAAAAAATAATTAAAGCTGTCTTACACTAAAATTGCCATGTAGTCTTTAATTTGTGAAAAGGTAAATATTAGCCTTTTCCTTGATCTCTACCATCAAGAGTTTCCCAGTGGAGAAAGTTCTGCTCTTGGTTTTTCATTGTTAAACCTCCTCTGATGCCAGGCAAGCTGGAAAAGCTCAGTACTTTATCAGGATTATTTAGGGGGTTTTTATGTACATACACTTCATTGATTATTAGCTTTCTGTTTAAGCTTATTAAAGTCCAGGATCCTGCATAGGTAATATTCCCATAACCAAGGAGAAAGTGGTTGTGTAACTGTGCACTGTTCCTATTATGAGTACAGTAAATAACAGCTATCATGAAAGTGCTGGTGAACTGCTATGAGTTCTCAGAGAATGGATAATACCATTTCTTTTAGGCTACATCTACATTTCAGGCTTCTTGTGCAAGAATGGCCATTCTTACACAAAAACTTGTGAAGTGTTTACACTGCACGTGCATTCTTGCGCAAGTAAATTTACAGTAAAGCATCGGAACAGAGGGCTTCTTGTGCAAGAGTTATTCCTCTCCCCACAAGGAATAAGCCCTCTTGTGCAAGAAGCCAGTGTGGATGGGCAACAGGCTAAAATGGCCATCAGAGCTTTCTTGCGCAATAGAGCATCCACACTGCCATGGACACTCTTGCGCAAAAGCACATGGCAGTGTAGATGCGCTCTTGTGCAAGTCCTTTTGTACAAGAATGCTTGTGAAAAACAGTTCTTGTGCAAGAAGCCTGCAGCGCTTGTGAAAAACAGTTCTTGCGCAAGAAGCCTGCAGTGTAGATGTAGCCCAAGAGATCAGATATCACCCTTACATTTAAAAATTATAGTGTTCATTGAGGGCCCAATCATAATCAGAGATTGTGCTGCACTCACTGTACCATGCTACATGCCACCAGTTCCTACTTGTTAAAGCCCTGATTCATCAAAGTTATGCCTTGGACACATAATCAGTCCCATTGGCTTCAATGGGATATTTAAAGATGTGCTCCAATGATTTGCTGATTCAGGACCTAGAGCAGTACCTCAGCAGATCAAGCTCTTAGTGCTCATTTTTCAGTTACAGCTACCTTAACAGGACATTCAAATTCTATCTATCTAAGGATTTATATGCCCTACCCTCCCGCCCCCATCACCATAGTGTCTAAGCATCTCCTAATCTTTGATGGATTTATGGTCACAACACTCCTGGGAGGTAAGGCAATGCTACTATCCCAGTTTTGCAGATGGAGAACCAAAGCATTAGAAGACATAAATGACTTGCCCAAGATTACACAGTAAATCTGAGGCAGAGCAAGAAACTGAAACTGGGTCTCCTAAGTAGAGCTGGTCAGGAATTTTCAATATTTTTTTTCCATTGGAAAATGCCAATCTGTGAAAACACAAACATTTCACAGAGGCAATTAATTTCCAAGGAACTTTCTTTGATCATATCACACCCAATGAATGAAACCAGAAGAGTCAATATCCCAACTAAATAAAGAAAAGCAGGAATTTGAACTTGTGTATCCCATACCAAGGCCTTATGCATGATTTATTAGCTATTTGGGAGGGTGAATTGCCCTCGTTCACATTCAGCAGAATTTGTGTTATGCAGCCATCCCCACTCTTGAGACACAGTCCAACATCCTACCCTGTGCAAAAACCTTCCTCCAAAAGTTTGCATTGGAATACTAAGGTTTATTCCTAGGTTGCAAAATGGGTACTTATGTGCCTACACTAAATGGCAATTTCAGTACCTACTTGAATGATAATATGGTGCATAAATTTGAACATTGAGTTTCTTATTCTGCACTATTTAAATTTCAGGGGCTGTCTAAACTGTAGCAGAGTGATGATAGTAGCCATACCAAAGTGCTGTGCTGTAACTTCTCTGCGTGAACAGTATGGACACAAATTAAAAGGTTCCCAGTTTACACTGATGTAATCCTGATTGAAGAGGACTAACTTTCATGCTCACAGAATCCATATAGAGTCATTACATCAAAGCACTTCAGCAAGCAAGGATATGTATACCTCCAAAGTCTGGACTGTGGGGCAGCATAGGCATACCGTAAAAGAAGATGGGGAGAAATTATTTCAGGAAGTTTCACTATGCCTAACTGTGCTACATTCTTAAATGTGTCTGACACTCTCAAAAGCAGATATGTAGATATTTTCTGACTTTAAATAATTATGTAGAACATTTAAAGTAAGGCAATGAAAGCTGCTACTGTCATCCCAATTGTATTAGTGTTAAAGATACAGACAAGAAATATTTCTACAGTGACAAGTGCCTTCTTTGGGAACAGACTCCTCATGTTGCAACTTACTAGGGAAACTAATGTATGTCTCTGTCCCTCTTAACATTACAAGCTCCACAGTGAACCCTCCCCCACCACACACTCTGCATCTTCTCAGCATGGAAGCAGTTGTATAAAAATATGCAGTAGCAGAAGGAAAGCTACAGTAATATGAAATCCATGTTATTCTTCTTGATGGTTATCACGCTGACATTTCTACCTAAAGGATTTCTGATTTTTTCCCCTTTTCTCTTTTCTAATCTAAGAGGTGAGCTGGTGCTTTATTATCCTGTGGAAATACAAGGAAAGGATGAAGTGAGAAATGTAAGTGGTGGCAAAAACCAATATAAGGGCAGTGTTTCTTTGCTTGTCAAAAATAAACAAAAACATAAACAAAATGCATTCACTTCAGGACACAGATCAAGGAAGAAAAGATAACATTTTCCCCCTAATACTGAATCTGAACATTCTGAACATTGAGGCTTAAATTTGTCTTCCATGGGAGTGTTTCCAAACATGAATTTATCTTTCCTTGATGAAGCACTTCTTGGATATGATATCAGTTTGCTCATTTTTATCAGGAATGAAGCATATTATGTTACCTATTAATGTAAATTGCTATCTGATTAAACACATTTAACAAATGCAAAAAAAGAGATAGTTTAGAGAAATAACTGCTCTACATTTTTTATCTGGATA